GGTCACAGGGTCCCGTTCAGCCTCGTAGTGATGATTTTGCAGAGATCACTTTATTCCTCAATCTTCCATTTCCAGGCATTCATTTATTCATGCAAGTAACTATTCACAGTTCTCTCTTCTGTGCTGGGGACTGTCACGAAGAACAGGACCTAAATTGTCCGCATGGAATTTTCAGCGATCAGTGTATTGTGTCTGAGAATCAGGGGATGTTACTTGGGTTATTGCTTGTGAGCTATGCAAACTTTTGAATTATACCTTCTCCCGTGGGTCCTCTGGAATTCAATCTGAATATTTGTTGAGCTATATAAAATATCTTGCCTTACATTTACTAGTAGGGTACATGATTGAAGTCATATTCAATAAATTTCCTACTATTGAAGTAAAAGATGGTATTTTATAGTTATTTTCTTCTCCTCTTCCTCCTTCTTACTGTATGGGATCCAATTTAAGGTCTGGCATGTGTGAGGTAAGTGCTCTACCACTGAGCTATACATCCAACACTATTTTACTTTTTACTATCACATATTACATATTTGTCATGGAAAACTTCAAAACATAAGAAAGTATAAATACCATACAGATCATTTCTAATTCTATCAGCTGACAAAAAACACTATGTGGGCCTCTTATATACATTCAGTAGTTTTAGTAGTATACACTCCTTTACTTTGGACCAAATTCTGGAATCATATGTATACTTTCTTCTCATATATTATGAACAATTTAATATTGCTTCATACTAAATTTCCTCACCAACTTCAAAGACTTCTTTGCTGATTTGTGAGTTGTTTCAAATGATAATTTGTTATTATTTTCAATGCTAGTGACGTTGAACGTGTATTTGATTATTTTAATAAGAAATAGCTCACCAATACAGAATAGTAATAGTATAATGGATACCCAATCTCAAATTTAAGGAAAAATATCATGGATGCAACTGTAGCCTCCAATGTATTCTTTCCAGATGCATTTCTGCTTTTCTCTCATGAAGTAATCACTAACTAGAATTTGGTAGGTATTATTCTCAGGTATAATTTTTATTTACTTATTTATTTCTTGGTTCTCACCATGTAGTTCATGCTGGCCTTGAACTCATTACATAGCCCAGGTTGGCCTCAAACTTAGCAGTGATCCTTCTGCCTCAGCCAAGTTTTATATTTTTGCTACACGTATCTCTAAAGTATATACAGCCTTGCCTATTTTAAAGTATTAAAGTGTTGATATTGTGCCATAAGTACCTCATAATAACTTTTTGAAAACCCAGAATTATATTTTTATGCAGTGATTTGGTACATAGAACTCTAGTCTAATAATTTTCATAGATTAATACAAATCCATTTTATGAATATATGCAACCTAAGGGTTGATGAATATTCAAATAGTTTGCATTTTGACTATAAGCACAGCACGGGATGTACTAAGCTTCTTTTTTTTTTTTTTTTTTTTTTTCCTTTTTGAAATACAACATCTAAACAAGATGAAGCATCTAGTG